AAGAATCAATCTACCGCTTGGTTCGGCTTCCTCAATTAGATTTCGGGTTCCTTGGTGATCCCTGTTCGCCCTGATACGCCCGCTAGCATGTGCCTGACCTAGTCAATGAAACTCCAGTCTACGTGTACTCGTAGTCTGCATCCCGCTCTGCTGTCGTGCTCATTCAGAGTACTCGTACCGCTTGTTCCTGTATTGTTGTACACATGTGCCGTCACCAATTTAAAAGGCAGACTTATAGCAAAAGTACGGAATACCCGATCGGATAACGCCCACTTGCCAGGTCGTCTACATGTAGCCGGTAGCGCAAAGTTCACTACTGTACGACGTTGTTTAAGCCGGTGACGATCTGTATTTTAATTATCGGCGTGATGATGTAAATGCTGTCCGTTTTTTTGTGTCTGCTGGATCCTTCTACTATCTACTGCTAACTTGTAGATCTATCTGCATCTACTACTAGGCAGATCTATCTCTGTCATAGTAGAACCATCTGCGTTGGTATTCTCCATTGACAGTCCGAGCTGTGCAAAGTCATTTTTTCGAAGTTGATACCAAAAGAACATGGCCTTTGGACCTTGGAGCATGTCGCATTTTATAACCCAAATCATCTTGTAGTCCGCCGTGGAGCTTTACCTTTGCTAAAGTCTATTGGACAAAGTAAAAGTACGAGCATGAAAGCCTACATGTACACATGCGCCCTTGTCTTTTGCAGTGAATCCAGACCGCCGATAGCGTTCCCCCAGAACGTGGGGGAGAAAAGCATCTTTTACGAAACATCGCACGCCCCATCTTGTGGTCAATGTTCATGGTTCTCGGCATGACAAAGACAAAGTCGTTGGTGGTGCTATCGTGACTAACACGGGGGTGTAAATGGTGACACGTGCTCGCTGGGTGTTTCAAGACTGAGCTTTGATGACTCGTTGTTCTATTTACTCGTATACTTGTAATGTTTTCGAAAACTCTGTTGGGTGCGTGAACAGCTATTGAACTCTCGTCCCCATACCGAACTTCCCTATCAGTTACCACAATCGATGTCCTTTCTCCTTGTACTCACCGCTACGTCTTCGAAGTTCCCATTCTTGACGCCTCGTCATCGCAAACTATACAAAGAGGTGAATGGAATGGGGCCCATGATCATGTATGATGAAATCGTTAGCATGGCTCTCTTCCGCTGAGAGTCCGCCAATGCTGCCGAGACCTGAAGCATGGACAGAAACAAAAACAAGCCGATGCCATGCGGAAAGGCAGCAATGGAGGTAGATGGAACAAGATGGGGGGCTGATATGCACCTATGCGTAGGCCCCATGAATGGCGAACGAATAACGGCTCCATTTGACGATGATACTCTGCGCTTTGTTCGCCGCATGGTAGCTGAGCTGGAGCTCTCACCCGCTTTCGCAATGCTTTGACCAGCGCCATCTTCCCATGACATTCGACAACACGTTGTTCGACACACGCTATGTGCATGCGCGCATATACGGGCTGCACGTTGCATGAAGCCACAGATGACCGAGGCGGTTTCGACATGACAGAGAGCCACGGACGGGAGTCAACCCTGCTACTCAGATCTACGGATGTGCCCATCATCTGGATTCCCCCGCATCTCGCATTTGAGGGTGGTAGTTTGCCAAGCCTGGGCCTTTGATTGCTTCGGCCTTTGATTGCCTCGTCTGCCCAGCCTCCGCAGTTGTATCTTTATACCCATTGATGCTGGGCCCATGGCTGCCCAATATCTTCAGCTGAGAGAAAAAGGGTGCCGCCACATGCCGTTTGTTGTCCATCAAATGCATTCCTCCCGCTGGGCATCTGCAGTCCATTCAGCTCGCCCCTCATGCAGGACTGCCCGTGCAGACTGATTCAAAGCGGTGGGCAGGCCTTGTGATGCATACTAGTTAAGCTTGGTTGACCCAAGACATGGGTCTGGATCTCTTTGACTGAGTGCAGGCGGCGGCTGAAGAGGGTGCTGTGACAGCTTGGAGGGCTTGGCATGTCAAATGCTAGTGCTCGGCGATAGATTTAAAGACCGAGAGTTCTCCGGATGCTGAGTTTACGAGCAGTTGAGAAGAACTAATAGTCGACAAGAGCCGTTGAAAAATGCCCAGATATCAGAATATATTCTGTCGGAAGAGACAGTCTCGTTCTGCGGAAAACCACTCGAGATACGGCGCATTTACAATGGCGGATACCTTCAAACCGACCCATCCCGATGCGACGTCGGACAACACTTTTATGCACCACAGCGAGATCCTGCCGCCGAGCTACGGGGCCGAAGACGGAAATGCACTGCTTCCTCCTCCATACTACAGCCGAGAAAACGTTGGGAATCTGAGTGCGGATGGTGCCTTTTTATCGCCCAGAGGGAGGTCTGGGACATTGTCCAAGTGCTTGAAATGGATCGCAAAGGAGATGGCTGAGTCGACAAGCGTGCCGTCACATAGGAGAAGTAAGTTGGATGTCGATGAGGCAGCACGGAAGCGGCTTCTAACATGATTTGATTAGATCCGGACATGTGTTTTGGTGCTTGCTGTCGCGGTTGATGGGCCGGTCTGGCGGAGTTGGTGTGCAAGTGCTTGGTTCGAGGGATGACTTTTACCATTTTCGTTGTAGATATTATGAATGAGTACGTATTTACCTGTTTATGTTCACAGACGACTGCCTGCTGCTGGTATGTTCAGCTAGAGCAGTATTAGCAGCCCTCGCTCTTGGAAGACGCTCGAGGTGAGTTTGCACAAACCTCGATGAAGACCTAGGTAGGTAAGCTCAACCACCAGGACTCTGCTCAACCGGCCATTTCAAAACGATGGAAACCGTCATAGACATGGTCAAACCAGCACATCGCTTCTTTTCATGTCACCGCAGTTCGTATACGATACGACGCAACGCGAACCGAAGCATATACATCTTCCAATGGATGACAGCCGATCTAGAGCTCCCACGTCTGCTCAACCTCGTGTGCATATTCGATGATATCACCAGGCTCCAACGAGCTCCATTTGGACTCGTTCTCCATCGCATCAACATAGTGCTCAAAAGCAAGCACCGTCTGATTCGCCCATCTCTCGGGACTCACCGCGCCCACGCCCGTAGCCATAGGAACCATCAGTAGGCTGCGGATCTCGTCATGTCTCCCGCTCAGCCTGCCCTCACGAACCGCCCGGTTGTGTCTGTCTACCGCGCAGAGCAAGCTCCACGTGCACTCGTAGATGACCTCGTGATCCCAGTTGACGTTTTGCGGGACTCGCATTGTCGGGCACAGCGCCAAGTATTTGGTGTTCCAGGTGTTTCGTGAGCGGGCGTGGAAGTCGTCGGGGATGCGAAGCAGCGTGCAGGTTCCCGGGGGAGCGAAGCCGCGCCATTCATCGTACAGCTTTGCCTGGGCAGCTCGTGTGAGGGCGAGATAATCGTCGCGAGGAGAGAATGAGCGCGAGATGGCGTCGTCGAAGCCTCCGTCTAGTCGGCCGTATGAGTTTGCGGGAGACACGATGAGGTCGAACTCGGCCTCTACAAAGGAGAGGGCGCAGTTGTGGTAGGTGATTGAGACGGAGGAGAGGCTGTGGGCTTCGACGGCAGCCTGGAGGGCGGTGCTGTAATCGTCTTCCATGCAGAGGGCGTGGATGTGCGGGATCGGAGAGGCATTTTGATGGGATGCCGACGGCATGGCGAAGCAGCAGCGAGGCTGTGTGAGATTGCTGGCTGGTGTAAGTGTTGATGTGATCAATATCTGGTGATGGTTTCGCTTGGTGTTGGAGCTGTACTTCAGAGAGTCATGTGTCGTTTCGGCGCTATCCATGTGAGGGTCGACGCAAGATTACATAACGTGGAATTCATCGTCATCAATGTTGCAGGGATCATTCATTGAAAGGCACAAGAGGCTCATCGATCTAATACGAGCAACATTGAAGTTTTCAACACGTGTCAGCGACGAGGCAGGTCTCACAGACTGAGACAAGGAAGACATTCGATATTCGAAGAATTTCAAATACGCGCGTTACCACGTTCTTGTCGAAGACTCGGCGAGCAAGACACTGGATGAGTCTACTCTGTACGAGTACACTTGTAGCCTTGTAGGACTTGAACCCGTCGGCATTCGATGCCAAGAGGTAGCATCAAGGAAAAGAGCCGAGACAAAAGGCGGGTGGCAGCGGCCGTCGGTGCGGAGAAAAGGGCGAGACGGAGGATTGCTCGGCTTTTACGCTTCTAACAATGAGAATTGAGTGCCTGATTCGTCCGCTTGTTGAGTGTGCATGTAAAGGACGATGCTAATGCGAGGCGAGTTCGCTCAACTCCATCCCTGGCGGCTGCTAGACATCATGGATCGGATCATCGCCGTCGCCCAATTGCTCATCCCATCCTCGTCCTTTGTTAAAGAATGAGTAGCAGCTGACTTCAATTTGTCTCAGACAAGCGACAGTAAAACATAAGAAGCACAAAACAACTCTCCCTTGACCAAGAATGCAGTCTCAGCACCTACAAGACATTGCAGCCTTCTCCCATCACCTCATAACAATGTCCACGACACTCCCTCCAGCTTCCTCTTTCACAACACCAAACCCTCCCTCTCCACATAACACAGAGTAGCATCGTCATGCCGGATAACATCCAACTCGCCCGCATCGCATCCTTCCAAACAAACCCTGTTGGTGATGCTCTCCCTCTTGAATCTCCCCGCTTCCCCCGCACGCTTTTTTTACCCAAGAATGCGCTCCCAAGGGAAAGATCGCCATGACCTGTCCGGTTCCCCCACCTAATGGATCTGGGTGTAACTCTGTGCAAAGACAGATGACGATGAATAAATAAAATGGCTGGCCCGGAACAGGGACAGAGACTGGCGGTGATCGGTGAGACCTGCCTCGCGATTGCAGCCCCTCTTTGCCTGGGCCTTTCCTCTGCTGTACCGTGAATCTTGCTCGAGATTCTTCTCAGACTTCTCTCTAAAAGCATTTGTTATTATTGTATCCATAGCTTTGTTGTAACAGGCATCTCCTGTGTCTGATTGAGTCGCGATGCCTCTGCACATGTCTCCTCACAGCGTTCTCAGCGCTGCCCTCGGCGTCTTGGCCGTGTTCCCGGCAACTGCGTCTGCTGGCTGGCAGAGCTTCCCGCCGCATCGCCGCACAGCTTCCTCGTGTCCAGATTATACCACTTTTTCGGGACAGCCTCATGGACCGTATTCGTCTGGTCCTCTGAAGCTGCCTTACATGAGACCGAGCGAGGAGTGCAGAACGTTCAAGAGCCCAGCAGTCGAGGTGAGCTTCACTCATGATGTCGATATGGGCTGTTGCCCAAATGGGACGTGTATGGCTTCAATTGAGTCGCTAACGATAACGTCACCATGTATAGAAAGTCATCAGCGACTTGAAATCTCGGCTCAAGGATCCGGATCTTGCTCGACTTTTTGAGAATACTTTTCCGTCGACGCTGGATACTACCGTCAAGTACTTTGATCCGTCGCTAAATCTGGCATTCATCATCACTGGTGTAAGTTGTTTTCTCCATGGAATGACTACCTGGGTCAAGGCTTGTTTGTCTAACATTCTGCTAGGATATCACGTACGTATATATGCCACTGTCATCATAGACAGACATCAATCAACTAACCTTCCAAGTGCACAATGGCTGCGCGACACCGGGAACCAGTTTGCCCACCTGTACAAGCTTCTTCCACACGATAAGAACCTTCAGGCCCTCGTCAAAGCAGTCATCAACACAGAGGCGCGATACATTTCTCAGTATCCATACTGCGGTGCGTTTAACTACAACAACCTGACGCAGAGGAATCCATCTAACAAACGGTATTGCATGTAGGCTCGTTTCAGCCACCTCCGGAGAGCGGGCTTGCTCCGAGTGTGAATGTAAGTCACTGAATGCGCCTCTAAGCCGGTATGGATATCGTTTTGACACTACATATAGGACTGGGCCACAGGCGTTAGAGTCAACCCGTATGTATACACACCCGCCAATGTTTGCAAAGTTACCATTCCCAAATTAACACCTACGCTCTTTACAACAGGCCTGTCAACAACCAGACGGTATTTGAATGCAAGGTATGATGACTGCTAACATATATAATGGAAGAATTCTTACAATTGATAGTACGAACTCGACTCTCTTGCCGGATTTCTCAAAATCACGCGATCTTACTACGCCAACACAAAGGACTCATCCTTCATCAATGACAATTGTACGAACCGCTAAACAAGAGACATGGAAAAGACGGAAGTATCCTTTTCTCGGTCTATTTGGCTAACACCATCTCTAGGGAATGCTGCGATGAACCAAATTGTTCGAGTCCTTTACGAACAGTCCCAGAGCAGTTGGTCGGATGACTTTCAATGGGTCAGCTACTACAACTGGACGGGCACTGCCGGTGCGCTCTCTCCAATGGTACCCAACAGCGGCAATGGCGAGCCGAAGCAGGCGAACGGTTTGGTTGCTTCCAGCCACAGGCCCTCGGACGACCTCTGTGTCTTTAGTGAGTTTTGGAGCCATCAAGACTTGTGAGTTGTGTCATTATTCGCTGACAGTTCAATCTAGACTTTATCACTTCCGACAATGCCATGATGTCTGTTGAGCTCGCCAACGTCGCAGACATGCTCACCACCATCAGAACCCAAAAGAGCCTCGCCAAGCAACTTCAGCAATACTCCAATACCATTAAGCAAGCCGTCTGGGCACATACTCGCGCTTCCAACGGCATTTTTGCGTACGAAACCAACGGAATCGGAGCGCAATACATCATGGACGATGCCAACGTACCTAGCCTGGTGTCGTTGCCGTATCTGGGATTCTTGGAGCGGAGCGATCCTACCTACCAGAAGACCAAAGCCGCCATGTTCTCGAGAGCGAATCCGTACTATGCTGTAGGAAAGACGTTTAATGGCATTGGGTAAGTCCAAGATTGGGGATCTACACTCCTGTTTAATTGTGCGGCTTCGATTAATCGTTAATGATACCATAGAGGTCCTCACGTCAACGCCACTTATCCTTGGCCCATGAGTCAAATTTCTGCCATCTTCGGCACGGATGATGACAGGGAGATTAAGCAGCGTCTGGCACTCATCTTGGAGAATACTAGCGGACTGGGATTGATCCATGAGAGCGTCAACATCTACAACGCGAGCGTGTACACTCGTCCGTGGTTCGCGTGGGCAAACAGTTATTTTGCAGAGATGATTTTGGACTTGGCCGAGAGGAAGCCTAGTCTGATTCTTAAGTCTGGGAAGCCGTACAAGATTGGACAGTGATGGGCTATGGGCTAGAAGATGGATGGTCATCACGATTTGTGTAGTAGATGCACATTGGTTTTCTAGGTTTATTAATGTTACGATTATATTTCAAGCTTACAGTAGCAGTGATGAATGTGGTAGATGTAGTAGTCGTACTGTACTTCAAAAGGTGCGCAAGAGTTGCAGGCGGCAAGATGGCTTCGAGATGGCAGTGGATAAAAAGACAAGGTCGGGAGAAGAGTTGATATATAAAAGAAAAAAAGGAAAAGGAAAAGGAAAGGCTCAAATGGTAAAATACATATTTAACTGATAAAAAATAGATACAGAGGGCTGCGCCCCATCCTTTGGTTCAAAATCCAGAATCAATCCGTAGTTTAAAATGATCGGCTGAAGCTGACCAAGTCAAACCTTGAAGATAAAGTTCAATTTCCAATACTGAAACAAAATGGTCCATGCAAAGTCTTTGGATTCATTCTATGAAACCTAGGGTTGCGGCTAACAGGAAATTTGCCCAGGAATTCATCAATGCCTTCGCATATGGTCACCCCTTGGACACCATGTCGCAACTAGATATCGAACTACATCGCGCAGAGCCAGGAGAGGGCCTTAGACAACTGATAACAACAGCTATTTGCCATCTATAATGCAAAGGCTCGTTTGACTTCTATCCCATTGCTCACTAATTTTCTTGACTCATCCAGCTTTCTACCCATTCGCAGTATCGTTGTAACGGCTGCGACAGATGGGATGGTTTTTATGAGAGCGAAAGTCTGGCCATATCCCCAATCATTCTTCGACACGGTGAAATTCGATGTCGTGGTGTTTTCCGTATTCCAAATACTGAAGGCAGTGTAGATTAATATAAGAAAGGCTTTTTGGCGGCGCGGAACACGAATAGCTATTTTCGTACCTGCCCATACCCTTGATGACCAATGGAGGTCTCCTTCAATGTTTGTACATGGACCAATCCCAGCAGCGAGTTTTGTCAACAGATGGGACTGACGGAGCATCATTGTCGCCGAGGCCGTCGAAAGGATGGTGTGCATCGGTAGGTTTCGGCCTCCATATTCCATATGGCTGATGATGTGATCGGCATCTTGTGCATTTGACAGGTTCAATACTCTGTAGCAAACGTGCGAAGACGACGCGGTAGGGTGTAGATAAAAAGATTCCAGGCCCCGTTTGAAGAAGCACTACGGCATTGCTCCCTGTAGGGTGGCTCCCTTCGTCTGAGCATGAGATTAACTTGACATGCACGAGATACTAGACCTTGACTAAACCATTGCTGGAGAAATCACAGCCCAAGATGCCAATCCAACATACTTGGGATGGCATTTCATTTCTCACATCTTCGGTGGCCCATATCCCCCGCCAAATGCAATCCGAATTCCTCCAAGCTCGTTGTTGAAGTTCCTCCAACACCTAACCCATGGCATCGTTTGTCTCAGCCTCTCAGGTCTCGTCACGGACTCATCCATTGCATTTTGGTGGGCAGGTGTAGTCTCTCCAACAATGGTCTGGGAAGACTCCCGCCTCGCAATTTGCTGCATTCCGACTTGAGTAAAGGGAAAAGATTGGGCCGCAGTTTACCGTCGTCTAGCTTGAACGTCGCGTAGATTCATTGTCGGTCGAACCAGTCGCGGGCCTTGGACTCGGATCGAAGGACGAGCTTGGGTCGTCACCGTCTGTCGTCGTCTGGTGGCTTGCGTGAGGGAAATGAAAAAAAGGTTTGCTAAGGAGCGGCCGTGAATCTTGGATAATTAAAAAATGAAATGAAAAAAAGAGAGTAGAAGAGTTGGAAGATTATGTTACTACCTTGAATATTGTTTTAGTAGCTGCTTGACCACTCTTGTTCACCGCTGCAAACTGAAGTTCTCCCGACCTTATTTGTCAGGCAGACATTGATTTAATTTTTCCTAAAGAATCCCGTCAAATAATGCAATAATACATGATCCATGGATATGTATAAAGGCATGCAGGCAGGTATGGAGCCCTGGAATCTCGATCTCGAAGTTGTCTTGTTGACCGCAAGTGACTGAGCTTGAAGTTGGTACGTAAATGTATGCTTCAAACGTGATGAGTCGCCTGGCTTTCTAATAAGGGCACTTTGGCCAGAGATTTTTCAAACAGTATACATTCGGCAAAGGGGTTTGCATGTGTTGTTGTGGTTGGCATTGTCCTAGAGGAGGTTGTTTGCGCAGACGTCTTCGTGGAAAGGTGCTCCTTTGATGCAAATTCTCGTTCCGTGAAAGGGCTGCTTCAAGATGGCGTTGCGTGCATTCTGTCTCGGCATATCCTTGTCACTTCACTGAAGCAGATCGGTCCCATTGACTACATTTCCTTGATCGCTTAGTGGAGTAGACACAACATCCTGCTGCACGTTGGTGGAAACCACATTGCGGACTCTATCAGAAATGTCAGCGATGAAGCTGGAAGGTATCGCGAAAAACTCCAGGTTCTATAGGTACCTACCCTAGCTGGATGTTTGGTTTGAAGTTGCTGGAAGTCTGGTTTGGAGTAGAAAGATGAAACGAGGGTTGTGATGCTGTCGGTGACCGTTGAAGTGAAAGTAGAGTGTGAGGAAGAATTGGAGTAAAGAGAAGAAGGATGATAGAGAGAGAAAAAGAAAAGACGAGGGAAGCGCGCAGCATAAATCATTAAAGAAAAAGAAGAAAAAGGGCCACAATTGCGATGGAAGAGTGAATTCGAGATGCCGGAGATCTTGATGCGGCACTGGGTGTTTGGAGTTAAAAGGGAGGTGACAGGTACTTGACTTTAGGTGAAGCCTGCACTAAACTGGAAGTATACATCTCCCGGAGTGCAAATACGCCTCTCCTGCGTGCGCGCATCGGCACGGATACATTTGCCAGATGGCGATGCCTGCTGATGCCTTGGGGTCGGCGACATATGTGCGACGTGAAAAGTACTTTACTTTAGCTACAGCTGGCTACTGAATGGCAGGTACTTTTCTATTTTCCAGCATATGCTCTCCTCTTTGTGCCTTGATGCCTCGTTTGTTGGCGTGCATCCATCCATTCAAACATAGATCCATGCAACTCTCCTCTCTTCCTTTTCTTTTCTTTTTCCTTTCAACATCTGCAGGCAAGCAGCGCACCTCCGCGTTTCTCATTCTCTTGCCTCGTCTCTTCTTTATCTTTTCTCTTGCCTCATCTCTTCTTTATCTCTTGTGTGTTGCCGTTCTCGTTTCTTCTTCTCTAATACTTCGCTCGGTATCTCTTCTGATTCCCCATGAGATACTATTATGACCTTTGACTAACCAGGGAGCAGGCTTCGTCACTTCAACTTCGTTACTTCAACTTCGTTACTTCAACTTCGTTACTTCAACTTCGTTTCTTCAACTTCGTTTCTTCACACCACGCTCGAGAAAAGCACTGCTCGATCCAGGACCTTGTGTTTCAATCCGCTCCCACCACAGGCACCTTTTTGTACCAGGAGCCGGCACCCTGGCTGCTTGTTTCCGATTCTCTGCGGTATGTATGTCTACAAGACATTGGCCCTGATATTGGCTGACCAGAAGTTGCAACACTGCCCCATAGAATCGACGATGGTCCGGCCCAGCAAACAGAAAAAGAGAGTCCTGCCAGAAGGGGTTCCCGCCTTTGCAGGCCCAAAGACAGTGAAAGCAGAGGCAGGGGAAGAGGCACCAGAGGAGCAAAGAATTGGCCCAAAATTCAACCCAAAGATGGCCAGCGGATTCGAGCCGGCAGAAGATTTTGAGGACCGCTGGAAAGGCTGCACCGTTATATTCGGTAATGATGAACTGAATACGGCGATCCTCTCACCGGACCAGCAAATACTGGTAGAGACCGAAGACCAGCCTATCTACTTGAGAGATGGACACGCCGTGATCCCTGAAGACGAAGTCATGAAGTATCGCGTGCTGGCACGATGCCAACATCTCACATGCGGCCCTGCAAAGGAGCCAAGGGCCAAGGCGGATGGAGAGAATGCGAACGACAGTGAGGCCCTGATGAACTCTATCTCGGACGGCAAGTCGGTTTACATCGGACAGTCAATGCACATGGATGGCTCTGTGATTGCATCGGGTCAGAACGAAGAAAAGCATTCATCCGGGTTCGATTTCAAGGGCCTTGATCTGAAGTCCGAACCGCAAAAAGTCATAACCGGCTCTGGAACAATCCCGCACTGGTGGAAAGATGGCTATTTTTGCCCTCATTCCAGAATTGGCCCAGCAATAAAGCAAGAGATACCACCAGAGGCGGCCCTAACGAAACAGGTCCCTCCTCGACAGCCGAAACTATCTATTCAAGAGTACATCGTACCTCATACTCTCGATATATTTATGGACCAGCTGCGGTGCAATTTGTCGAATCTGGTCAAGGATGGGTTTTTGAGCGTAAATGGAAGCACAAAGCTTGAGCTGAATCGCGACTTGGAATGGGTGCCTCGTGGCAGTAAACGTGTGGCAGAAGAGGAGTTGGAGACACCACCCGCGAAGGTGATTCGAGGGCCGGATGCTTCGCGCACACCTAGCCCAGTGCCCTCTGGAGATTTCGTTGGTGATCCGGGTCCTGACCCAATACCTGACTATGCCGAGTATGAAGACTTGATGAAGGTGTGGTCTGCGGCTCCCGCTGGCGTGCACTGGGCCTGGAAGGCAAAGCTCGAAGACGCCAAGGGCCTTGAGGAAGGAAACCGATCGGAAGCGGCATTGAGAGACCTACTCGCCAAGGCCTCTGAAGCCGAGGACGCCGATTGGCGAGTCGTTTTCCAACAGGTCAAGGACGCATTTGAAAAGGGCCAGGCGGTCTCGGACCAAGTTATCGATACTCAGCTGGCTCTCGCATTTGGAAGAATCATGGGTATATGCCCTCCAGAAGGCCCAGTCACCAATGTTTGGGGTAACTATTTCAGGAGGGCTGCCGGAAAGGTCAATAGGGGAGCTGCATTTTGCATTGGGGAAATACTGAGCAATCTGCAGAGGCCCGACACAACGAACAAAGAATTCGTGGAGGAAGATCTCAAAGAGCTTCGCGATAATGTTCAGGCCCGAGCAGCGCGTGAATGGCTGGGGAAATGGGTGGAGCTTATTGCTCCGGACCTTTATTCCAAGGATGATTAAAAGCGGTATCCATCGATTTGTTTGCTTTTCTTTTCTTCTTCTACTGAAAATGGTGGCGCTGGGACTGGTTTTTAGTTATTTGGTTCGCTGGCTGGTTTCTTTTTCCTCTCTGCTTAGCTCCATCTCCTCAGTCTCGTTCTGCAAACTGAATTCACTGCTTTCTGCCCTTGAGTGCGGTTACTTGGTACTACTTTCTAGGTTTCCACACGCCCTGGGCCTGCCTACCTCTACGGATGGCTTCGAATGGAGGTGGAGGTAGGCAGGGCAATTGAGCCAGAATGTATGAGGTAGCAGGTACGTTTTATGCCACGTGGATCCCACTACGCGCCCTGTACTGACTACTTGGGCAGGTTTGAGAGGCCCCATGAGGCCAAAAAGTTTTCCCAGGGGAGCCTGGGATCGCGCAATGCCATCCATAATGCCATGGGAATCTCGAAAGGCCCTGTCCCTAGGTAGATGCGGAAGGACAAACCTCCGACTGTGAGAATGACTCCCAGAAGAAGCCCTCGATTCGCCCACACGGGCCCAGTGACACCCGGTGCGGACAAAGAGGACAAGAAGCCGGTCTTGATAATAAAACAACCCAGAAGAAGCCCATAATCTTAAGAGGCCGCCTTAGTAATACTAGTTATAAATAAAGAGAATAAGAGGCTAGTTTCCCCTTTGAATATAAAATAGCTTAGAAGAATTAGTCGGGGGTTTCCACCGACACCCATCACCCCGTCTGGAGATGAGACCGGCGTGTCTGAGGTTTCCATATCCAGAAAGCGTCGCAGTGGTATGTTTGATCCTCAATCACCATTCAGCAGAGCTTTTGTAGAGGATGTGGACAGGACCAGTTGGCACACGCATTGCGCTTCCATGGACGCTCTCTGGGACGAGTATGTAGACGACATACGACCCATTGTCGAGGACCTGTATGACACCACCACTCTGGCGAAACCTTCTGGGCCGCTGGGCGCTGTGCTCCATATCCAATGGTGGGTAATGTTCTTTTCTCATTACACTCTTCACTGTAATAACAGACAATACCTCAGGCACTATCCGACATTCGCGACGAAGAAGACAAACCGGCGGTTTAGGCACGTATTGGTATGTAGGCAGGAGGAGCATAACGAAGAGTGCACTGGTCTAACATCTCATCATAGGATCCGTGTAGTCCAAGTCTTTCTCAGCAAGCGAAAAAGATCGGCTGCAGCACAAGTGTTTCCACGTCGGATATGATTCCATTCCGGAACAAGGCTAAGCATCCTGAATAGGAGAAGGAGTTTGGTCCATCACGATGGGGAAAGATACTGCGCAGAAGCGTGAGCCTAAACTACAACATCATGCAGACGTCTCCGATCATTTTACTTCTGGGCAGGCATTGTATAACCATGTGTTTCTCTGGCGGTCTTTTTGATATACTTCCCCTATTAGTTGCGATCGACAGACGCCGTAGGCTTTGTTGCATATTTTAGATATAGTAGATATAGTAGATATAGTAGACATAGTAGACATAGTAGACATAGTAGACATAGTAGACATAGTAGACATAGTAGACATAGTAGACATAGTAGACATAGTAGACATAGTAGACATAGTAGAC